GTTAATTAAGTCACTACAATACACACAATAAGCTTTGCCTGCTACGTCAAAGCTTATTGTCCAAGAGCTTCTGTAACTTCGTCGAACTTGGAACCAATTTTAACCTTTACAGTGACTTTTCTGTCAAGCCAGTCCAATCGGAATTTATTCTTGACATTTGAGTCAATTTCTAGGATTAAAGACTCCTGATCTTTCGTCAAAAATTTCATAATTCCGCTCAAAACGATCCGAGAACAATGAATTTGCGAGACGAAGAGGCCGCCATGAATCAGGTAAAACAATATGTTCCATGCAATTTGATTGGTCCAATCGGTTGTAGTTAACCAATCGCTGGGCCGTTTATAATCGAGCTAAGACTTCCGCAACAAATAATGCCTTCAGTGATCTGATTAGTTGAAGCTTTCATACACGTCCAATCGCAGGGCTGTTTACAAACGGAAAACGGAGAGACTGTTCGGGAGAGCTCGTGAAAACTCGACGATAAGGTACCTGACTGCCCCTAAAATTTTCTCAACGGATTTAGACGATTCACAAAAATGATCAATTTAAGAAATAAAACGGCGGATTTCCGCGGATCCGCGGAAAATTGCCATGTATGCTGCCACCATCTTGTGGCGTCTTAGCATCAAGGAACTCTGTTTAAGTGTGTTGGAGTTTCAGGCAAAAATAGTGCTTTGCTGTAATCTTGTGGCAGCTTTGTGTCAATAAACAATGTTGAAGTTAGTTCGGTTTTATTTCAACAAAATAATGCTTCGTTACAATTTGTGGCATCAAGAAAACTCTTGAGCTAAGTAGAAGATTTCCATGAGACAAAAATAGCGGTGGGTTTTCCCGCCATCTTGGTATCGGAACTATATTGAGTTGAGAATTTTCATTTAGTTCAAAATAGAGCTTTGTCGCCATCTTGTGGCATCTCAAGGCAATTACAACTTGTTCAGTGGCAGGGCTTTTCAATGCCTTACTCTTTTTGGGCAGATTTCACTCTACCTGTGTTTCTTGTGGAAGCGGAGTATCTTGTGGTCCAGGTACTCCTGGTTGGGGACGTAGTGCTTCATCTCCAGGTGCTGATAGTCCAGCTCCTCATCGTAGTCGCCAAGTTCTGCTGTCAGTTTATATTGGATGCTTCGATGACGTGTATAAAACGACATTGTACTCCAGTCACTCGAATGTTCTGTCTGGTCCTTACACTGCAGAATGTGAGAGACCAGCAGGGCGGCGCTGTTGTCGTTACAGGTCAAACTGCCGTTGGACAGGTCCTGCTTGACCTGCAAGGCGAAAAGGTATCTGCACGCAAACCAAATGACGTCATCCATGACTTCGGGGCACATACGTGTGTCAAGAAATGGCGCCGTACCGAGTGAGGCTCCTCTTTAGTTGTCCGGGGTCCGGGGGGAAGAATTTAACCATGAACCTGAAGAACAGATCGCTGGGGTCTAAAAGAAAAAAAGGGGAGAAAAAGCGAGAGAGAGCGAGAGAAGCTTGCTTTGATGGGCTCTCTCTCTCAAATGTCTTTTAATTGCTGTGCCGACTTTTTGTTGTTGTAGTTCTTGTTGAAAAGAAACACTTACATTTAATCTGCTTTGCGAGTGGCTTGAGCAGCTCGAGCCACACCTGGCAAACAAAGCCAAATCAGTCCAATTCCACAATCCCGCGTGTTGTGCGTCACCTGATGAGGCTCACGTAGTTGCCGCTGTGATGTCGGTACTCCAGGCCGAAGTATTCTTTCTCCAGCAGCTTCAGGTGACCGCACACTTTGTTGAAGAAGTCGCCGCCCAAAACGTTTTGCTAGCATGGAAACACATGGCAAGTGTTTTAGAGTTGCCATCATTTTTGTTGGCTTCCCTGCGCGGACGTGCATTGGAAATGTTTGCCTTGGATAGGCAAAGGAGAAGATGTTAAGACATATCGTCGAACTAAAAAAAAAAAAAGACAGGACAGCCTAAAAGATGACTGTGCAGTCAGGCTCGAAAAAGGACGACTAAAAAATCGACTGGATTGATGTTCCGACTAAATAAATGACAGGATGTAGAGTCGGAAGTGCAAAAAAAGACATGGTGTAACGTTAAGTTCAATTTTAAAAAAACAAAGAGTAAAATCTGATGGTCAGACTAAAAAAAGCATACAGTAATTGTGTAATTTATGTTGATGGCTTCTGATTGGCTATTGAAGGGAAAACAGGAAGTGATTTAGTTGCGGAGAAGAGTGTGTTCGCGATCGTTCTGTGGTGCAGACGTCCGTTGAACAAAAATGCTACCTGCAAACGGAATCCATCTCTCCTTTTGTGGTTTCGAAAAGTAAAGCCATCCGTTCGAAAACAACGAACCCCTCAAATTACAACAGTATAACTAAAACACTTAACAAAAGCATTAAAAAAACAAGATACCGTATAGTCAAGACAAAAAATACAACGTATACTAAGGCATTTGTTTTAATTGGATGATGTTTAGTCAACCTAAACAAATCAGCAGGATGTATCGGCCGTTTTTTAGACGTGATGTACAGTCACACAAAAAAAAAAAACAACACCAGAAATGATACGATTAAGAATAAACGATGTATAGTAAGGCATTAAAAGTCATATTTAATCCAGACGAGAGGAAAAAGTTGTACTGCACGTACAACTGCAGTATTTTCTTAACAAGGCATTTAAAATTGTTTATAATCAAACTTAAAACAGGTTTAATCAAGGCATTTTTAAAAACACAATGCATAGTAAGATTAAAAGGCAACAGCATCTGTAGCATGACATGAAAATACAACATATCGTTATACAAATGTAATATTATTTTATGTTCAATGTTCCGAAATCGCTGCAGCCGTTGTGACATGCCCCCTCGAGTACAGTACAGCTACGAGACGCTCACCTGTGTTTCAACATGACAGAACCAACTCACCTCTACCTCGAAGGTGCGTTCACTGTCATCTAGGAAAACCACGCGCAGTCGATACGGAGTCTCCTTGCACACTTTGCGGCGTGTCAGTGTGCGCGTCGGCCGCTCGTCCATCTCGTGCCACAAGGATTCCGGGGAGAAATAAACGAGGTCTGTGATGGTGAGTTATGGCGTGTTTTCTCTCAAAACACACACGCACACGCACACACACACACACACACACACACACACACACACACACACACACACACAGAGTGTATAGTGCGCGCGTGTGCGTGTAATGTTGGAATAATAGACATTTCACGGTGGATGGACGCTTTGACAGAAGTGACCTGTCTTTGAGTAAAGTAGGCTAGTAGTGCAAAAAGCATTCTGTCGCCTCCAGCGTGTACTTGTGTGTGTGGGGGGGGGGGGGGGGAGAGAGAGAGAGAGAGAGAGAGAGAGAGAGCTACGAGTGTGTATTATCCGTGCAGATAATCTTTAAGGACAGAATTTCTAGGCGCAGCCGAGGCGTTGAGGGTGGCCTCAATATTGCATCTCTGCTTTTTTTGCAGATGATGTGTTGCTGTTGACTTCTTCAGGCATGGATCTCCAACTCTCATTCAAGCAGTTTGCAGGCGAGTGTGAACCGGTCGGAATGAAAAGCAGCACCTCCAAATCTGAGACTATGGTCCGCAATTGGAAAGGCGTGGAGTGCCCTCTCCGAATCGGGGATGGGATCTTGCCCCAAGTGGAGGAGTTGAAGTATCTTAGGGTCTTGTTCACGAGTGAGGGCAGGAGGGAGCGGGAGATCGACAGGCGGATCGGTGCGGCGTCCGCTGCGATGGAGGAGCTGAGCCAAAAGGTGATGCTCTCAATTGACCGGTCGATCCATGTTCCTTCTCTCACCTATGGTCATGAGCTATGGATCGTGACGGAAAGAACAGATACAAGCAGCTGTAACGAGTTTCCTCCGCGGGGTGTTCGGGCTCTCACTTGCAGATAAGGTGAGAAGCCTGGTCATCCGGGAGGGGCTCAGAGTCGAGCCGCTTCTCCTCCACGTCGAGAGGAGCCAGATGAGGTGGCTCGGCCATCTGATGAGGATGCCACCTGGACGGCTCCCTGGTGAGGCGTTCTGGGCATGTCCCACCGGGAGGAGGCCCCGAGGATGATCCAGGACAGGCTGGAGAGATGACTCTCCCAGCTGGCTTGGGAACGCCTCGAGATCCCCGGGAGCGGCTGGAACAAGTGACTGGGGAGAGGGAAGTTTGGGCTTCCCTGCCAAAGCTGTTCCCCCTGCGACCTGATACCGGATCGGTGGATGGATGGATGTTTTTATATTTTCCTCTTCATGTTTATGAGAGCTCTGCACTTTCAGATTAATTGAATTGAAATGCCTTTGATTCAACATTCCTCACTCGTCTTCTATTTCAATCAAAGCTCACGCACCACTATGCCAAATATTCAACCATTCAATAGTTACATTTATTTGGTCATGTCATCTCACCCCCCCCCACCCCCCAACCACACACACACAGGTTAAAACCCATCGTAATACTCGAGAAATAATAAAAACATGTTCACACACTGTGTCGGGAAATAATCCTCTTGGGACACGACAATAAGAATTGATTAGGCCCAGCCCAGTGCGAGATTTCCACAAATTCTCTGAAGCTGAAATGAACATGAAACCAAGAGGTCACACAGAGATGGAATTATTATTTAAAAAAAAAAAAAGTACAATTTAAACAAACATGAATGCAACCAATTGCATGATGGCATGAACAAAGTATAACCTGAAATTAAAAATACAATAAAAGCAGACTTAAAGATGAACATGTCGACCATGTCCAGCCTTCGATTTAAGACCAAAACAGCCCCCCCACCACCATCCACCTCCCCACAAAAAAAAAAAATCATACCAATATTCATCATTGGCTAGATCGTCACGGAGAAGTGAAAATTTAGAGCACCCATACAAACATGTATAAATAGTCCAGTGGAACATGTGTGCGACGTTTGCATCAACCCGATGTCGACTGTGTCCGAACATTTTCATCCAGTGTGTGACATAGAAAGCCATTTATAAATATCCCCATGCCCCGCCCCTATATATGAATTTCGACGGCTATACAGCAGACATACCTTGCATAGCGCGCTATTGCCGGCTTTGTAACATGCAAAACTAACATTCTTTTCAAGCACCTGAAAGAGATCTGCTACTGAAAAATACTTTTGACATTTTCACATTGCTTTAGATGACGGCCCTTTCGTCTTAAAAAAAAAAAAAAAAAAACCCAAAAAATTCCCTTTCCACTGCGGAAAAAAAAAATATATCGCATCTCCGTCAAATCTCCTCCGTTGCGCCTGTGTGGGACTTATTTGACGAGATACGTTGATTTCAATATCAGGCCTGCACCTCTGGCAGCTTGGTGCGCCGTGAGTGCACCAAGCTGCGATGTCAAACGCTCCTCTTTCGACACATTCACCATCACAGTGGGAAAAAAAAAAAAAACTTTCATTGGTGCCAGCCCATTAAGCAAAATCCGAGACATGAGCGGTTGTCAAACCTCAGCATGCACCTGCTACCATTTCGACTGTCTCGGACGCTGCAAATCCATGTCAGGAGTTCTCGTAGGCTTTTCATGACATTGTTAGTCAGAAGAAGGGAACAGAAGAATTTTCAAGGCATAGACATTCATTTAAGTAATGAAAAGAGAAGAAGAGAAACGCCCCGTCAGGGTGCCGAGAGGCTGACAGTGACACTGAAGGGGGTTGCAGGGATTTCTGGCAAGTACTGGCTGTTTCAGCAACAACTTCCTGACTTCTTCAAGGAGGAGGGAATGATCAAGAGTTCCAAATAGCATTCAATGTAAGCAGACTATCAAACCTTCGCGCTTCAGCTGGAAAGTGGGAGAAAAATGTCAGGAAAAGCCTAAGAGAACAGCTGAAGTTTATTTGGCGCTAACCAGAGGCACTTTAGATTGTGACCAGTTTGCCGACTCCCATTCCATGTGAGTTTAAACGTGATTGATGAAGAAGCAAATGTGTCCACCAAACCCAAAGTTGTCCCTCTCTCTTTCTCTCTCTCTCTCTCCATTCCAATCATGTCGGCAATTGTGGTCCAATGACACAATCAATCATTCACGCCGCTTTTTGCCCTTCCAAACACTAAATGGCTCTCTTTCAGCTGCTTGACCCACACCTGTTATGTTAATAGACACTTGGGGGTGAGATAACCAAATTCCATATGTTCCATATTTTTTTTAGATCTCTGGGGCAAAAGAAAGAGCTGATATTCATGATAAAATAAAATACAATTCTTGACTGACTGCTGATTGGGACTCGTTGGTTATGTGACAGACATCTTGCCTGTTATGTGGACTCTCAGTTGAATCAGAATCGAGTTGGAATGGTGGCGAATAATTGTAGGATCCAATTGGACATTCATTGTATTGTCACAGTGGCACTCTTTGGCGTATTGGTTTGCGAGGAAGGGGGAGGGGGGGCGGATTTAATCCCTGACATTGTGCTGCAATGTGAACGGGATCTTATCTTCTTCCAGAGTGGAATGCACGGGTCATGCTTTTTTTTTTTTTTTGTGCTCGGCACATAACGCATTTTCCGGCAAAGCGCGACAAGTTGCGTTGAGCCCAGTTGGTCCCTGCGATGAGAGATTGACAAAACAAGGCGCTCCAAAATGTCCGTCGTCCTTTTTTGCTTTTTCAATCCGCACAGAGGTAGAGGGAGATGACACAGAGAAACTGGCAATCGAAAACGGGTCTCTCTGGCTTTCAGGGCTGCAAATCCATGCAGCCCCCTCAAGACATGACATGAGGTGGGGGGAAAAAAAAATCGATTGTGGACACAATCTAGCACACCAAATGACGTGGAGAGCTAAGGTGCGCTTCATTTGCTTTCCCATACGTCCGAGTTGTTCAGGGAATGTCAGTAAGGCCTCCAGGAAATATATTTCTACCTTCATGGCCACAAGATAGCATTTGGGGCTCATCAGACGTCCAATCTAACTACCGGTAGGTTTTTTTCAGGTTTTTATGTTATTATAAATACTGTACAGTATTAAAAACATAAATATGGGTGAAAATGAAATGAAATTTGCCTTCTCTTGGGCACAACGGGTTTTCACTTTGGTTCTAAGCCTTAAGGTGGTCCTTCGAAGGCTTTTGCTAGTGAGCCTAAACGCCAGCGGAAGAGAAAAAATTCAAATTCCTGGATGTGCTTCAGGAGGGATGGACTTCTGTGATCGTTTTTTTAAATGTGTGAGAGGGGAAAAACTAGTTTGAAAAAAAAGCCTTTATATATGCTCTCTCTAAAATCACAAATTTTCACCTTCACCGCAGTTTATAAATGGGGATTCACTGGATCGTGGCGTCAAATTTTCCCCCCCGCCATGTCATGTGTGGGGCCCCGTACAAACGTAGGACCTGGACTACCAGGAGAGATTGAAGGGTGACTCTTAGGAAATGATGTCAACAGGTCGCCGAGAGTGGTCTTTGTGGACTTTAGAAGCGGTCATCTCTGAGTTGCGTCGGGGACTTGAAGGGTTTGAGCCCCAGAGTCCTTCGGGGGTGGACTCTCTCTTTGGTTCCGTCCAGGGTCTTCGCGCACACCGCCCAGCCCAGGTCTATGAGCGGCGAGTCGGCCGGGTTCAGCGGCGCGATGCGAAACGACGGCAGCGTCGGCGAGCCGTTGGCGGAGCACGGCGCCGAACGCGAGGTGGGGAAAGGCGCCGAGAAGGGGTCGAAAGGCGACGCTTTATCCGAGGCGCACGACGGGTCGGCCCTGAGGGCGAAGGGGTCGCAGGCTGGTGAAGGGAAGGGCTCATAGTTGGCGAAGGGGTTCGTGGGGGAGGGCTGGAAGTCCCGGGGGACGCCGTCTGAGCGCCTCGAGTTACGGCCGGCGCCCGGAATGCCTCCACCCGCGGAGATGAAGCTCCAAGCATCGATGCGGGGCCGTATGGGCGAGGGGCGGGGGCGAGGGATGACGCTGACCTCTAGGCGGCAGGTCTTGGGGCTCCAGAGGGCGGCGTTGGGGTGGAGCGAGCCGGGAACGGGGGACTTTTCGTCCGAGTCCTGCGTGTCTTGGCAGAGGGGCAGGTCCAGAACTGGAAAGGACACAAAGAATTTAGGAGTTAAGTTGGCAATTTTCAACTCCATTTGAACCACGATACTCGTCAAGTCTAGCCTGCAGTGGTGGATTTTGGCATAGGCGGCATGTGAGCCCCCA